AATTTATAAAATTATTTTACAACAAATTTGTTTACCTTATAAAAACAGTCCATGGATAATAACGTTACCCAAGGAACATCTAAGCTTTCGATAATCTTTTGCGCTACTGTAGTCTTTCCAGAAGCACTACCACCACATATACCTATAAATTTAAAAATTATTTATAACAAAAAATAAAATAAAACAAAAAAAAATAATCAGCAGTTCTTTACCAATGACAAATGGTTCCACCTGCTGGCCGGCACAGTTGTACCAAGGCGGCCGACCAGCAGTATAAATGGTGCGATTATTGGCACGGATAATACATTCGGATGGATTTGCTGTTGTCGTTTGATTATTTATAGACGTAGTACGCTGACGTTTAGGCCTAATACGTACTGTTTGTTCTGCTGCTATACTTCTAGCTGGCACTGTTGTTGGTGATGCTGGACAGCACATATAATCCCCATTGGTATACTCAGAATGTATATTTGGATCAACATATAATTGCTCAGTTACATCAGATCGGTCATCACTATAAAAATATAAAAAATAATTAATATATTTTATTGAAGTGCTTAAATCGAAACACAATTAAACACATATTAAAGGAAAAAAATGTCTGAAATAAAATTATATACATTTATATATAATTGTATTATATACAATTATATATATTTAACTTTCATGCACTACCAAAGTATTCTCATTCCATAATTACAAAAAATATATATGCATATAATAAATTGATTAAATATCATGTTTACATTACAAATAATAATAATCATAAGAAAAGACAAATATTGTACATGATCTAGTAAAATAGAGTTTAAATAAATTAAAATATGTCTCTGTATTAAAATATAGTCTTTGTATGACATACAAAATGATTTAATTGATAATTAGTACCATATTGATGTATAGATAAGAATGGGAGAAGGGAAGAGACATCAAACTTTCACATAAAAGAGAAAATATTTTATTAGCTTCTAACTTTATTAACTCCTAAACATAATATAGAACTTTAGACATTAATAGGTCTTTAAGATCACTATTTTCAACTAACCTAACTTTCTTCATCAAAATCCCTTAAGTCTAGACACTAAGTCTTGGTATACTAATTAATAATTCTTCCAGTACTGACTTATGTAGATTTATGTAGACTTATGTACATAATAAAAATCTTTAGGTACATTTCTATGAATAGATTATATAGCATCTATCTAAACCATTTAATAAAAAATCAAGAAAATGACGAAAATATGCCTCTGTGGATGCGCCGCTGTAAAGGTAACATATACAGAAAAACTAGAAGTTTCTCTCGCCAAACCAAAAATGTTGGATGTCGTTCTTGACACTATGTTATCCTACTCAGCACGTACGGTTTAATGGACGCAAAGCGCTAAAAACAGTAGCAGACTAAGTTTGGGGTAAAGTTCCAGAACTCCTGCGAGACCCATAAACCAATTAAGATCTGAAATTGTTTTTCCATCTAGGTTTTGTGTCCAGTCAGTGTTAAAAATATTTAGTAAAATTCTACAAAAACAATTAGGGACTGTGTTAATGGAAATTGTTTTGGTTGTAGCCATTAGTAATAGTTTGTAAATATAAAATTTTATTGAAAATAAAGTGAATGTGGTTATAGATAACACTTGTGTGTTATCTTCATGAATATAAAAATAAGGATCACTTTATGGGTTTTTGCATTCATATACAAAGCAAATAAACAAATGAGTTTTTTTAATTTGTATTTTTAATATTATATCAATTTCAAAATAAACATTTTGGGTGCGTATTTAATATTCTCTAAGTTATTGTTTGGAATAATTTTGTTAACTCAAGTGTGTGCATATCTGTACTAGTATCTCCTAGGTTGCAGCATTTATCTACTATCGCAATTAGTATCTATTATTATCTCTTCTAATTATTATTATTTCAATTGGAAGTACATTTTTAGAGCAGAATGTCAGATCGTTTGTCCCGTAGTTCTAGTAAACATACATACCATTAGAGCAATATACTCTAATATTGTATTAAACATCGAATATAATAATCGTATTAATAGATTCTTATAGATTTTATAGATTGACCAACAAAATGTCCATATAACTAAATATATATAAGATCACCTTTCTCAGCTACAATTTTTACCTTATTAAAGACCAGTGAAGTGTAACACTAATTGTATTATTTTTTTGTTTTGAAATCAATAGGGTTGTCTTATAAACCTCAATCGTAGGGATATCGGTGTTGTGGTATATTTATAGCTATAGGTAAATACACTCTCTTGTGCCATAGGTAAACACACTTTCTTCTATCTTTACCAATGTCCTCCTCTTTAACAAATACCTCTTTCAAATATCTCCTCTTTAACTATAAGTACCACATGTCTACATAAGATTTTACTTCATTAAAACTCTCACTGCATTTCTAACCACATTCTAAACAAATTTTCAGGCTTTGTTGATAGTTCGATAAATATTCATAATTAACGATCAATTTATAAATAGTTTTTCAGTTATCTACTTTGGTTTAAACTTTTTTGCCTATTTTATAATATGAAAATGTTTTGTAAATAATTGTTTTGGTAGCTCATTGTAATGACCGGAGTATACAACATGCTTCCCCCACGAATAGTAATTAATTTGACCATATTAACCTATGCCCTCCTAACCAAAACAGTTATAACTCCCTTTTAGATTTATAAAAACCTATTACAAAAACCCTGAAGGCATTCAGCGTTTCTTTTTAATATTTTAACCATTTTTAACTATTTAACTGTTAACTGTTCAAGTAGCCTCTATACTTTTAAAAATATTTAGTATCTTATTTTAAATAATTTGATTCATTTTAATTTGGAGAATTCCTTAAACACTACTTTCAACACACTTAATGTATTATGTATCTTAAACCTACTTATATCAAGTGGTAATTGTATTAATAAAATTAATGAAGTAAAAGTAGTACACCACTCGAAGGAAGGTTTGCACAGAGAGATAAGGAGAACATAAAAATAAAATCCTCTTAACACACACAATCAGTATAATACGTCGATAAACACCCCAATTGGAATTCCACCGGTACCTATTTAAGCTATATCCTTGTGAGAAAGTGAGACCTATCTAACATCTCTACTGTACTTTAGGTTACTTTGAACCCGGTTGAAAAATATAACTCTACAATTATTCTGCCCGCGTAACTTTGGGTTCTAACGACAGCCACCACGATACTCCCATTAAAGGGATCAACTTCCATTGGTCAGAACATCCGATGCTGTGGGCCTTGACTCCCGTACTACCAAATATTCACTTTTGATCGAGTGCCGCGGTAATAAGTAGTGCTTGCTGGATTTTAGTCGCTTCTTACGCCAGGCATGTCTTACCTCGGCATGCCTAACCACTTTTTCGCAAAGTTTGTCAAACGATTAATATGGAAACAGTGAAAACCCTTATCCCTTACTGAATAATCAAATAAATTTTTTGTTAATATATTTTAATTTTGCCGGTTTGTACCTTTGATATAGCTCTATTTCACCAACTACTGATATTTATAGTCTTTGCTAAAACGATGCAGCTAACAAATGTATATAATTGGTAATGTTTAAAAGATTTGTTAGATCTTTATTTGTGTTTATTTTACTTATTAAATCACAAATTCCTGCCTGCATCGTACTTAAGTCGCATTGTCAACAACATTTTTTCCTAAATACATTCCACTTTTGTTTAGCACATATATACATATATTCTGCATATTCTAGTTCATCGTATTGTTATTGTTCCCAGTATTAATCTATCGTTTGTTGAAACGCAGCTTATGGTAGTCAATTACCGAACTCGTTACCTTCTTCTTCTTTTTTTACTTGATCAAACGCGAGTTAGTATCTAATACCACTTTTACTCAATAGTGTTTGTGACCGTTTAGATGATCCATTGTAATAAGAGCTACGTTAAATTCTGTTAATAAGTTATTCAGTTGATTTTATAATGTATATTTTAAAGCCCAGCATATCTTCCTGAAGAAATATATATTGCGTTACCCATTGTCATTAATTATAACTTATTTGTTGTGTTATTCATATAGCGTTAATTTCCTTGATGCTGTTCTTATTTCAAACACATCCTTTTATCACTCATCTTGTCATATAATAAATTTTATACCACTTTCTTTTTACCTGTTCCGCCCTTATATTCCAATTGGTACAATTTTTTTATCCTAACCTTATATTGACCAATTACTGATATTATATTAATTATTCTTGATACTTGCAGTCTCAAAAATAATTATTTACGAATAATTAAATACAAGAATTACTTCCAAGACCACTGATGATGGGTATTATTTGGCAATACTCGAAACAACTGTATGGTCAGCCAAAGATTCAATTAATTAAAATAATATAAAAATAATTTTTGTTGTTGTAGTTCACTTCGATTCAAAAAATTACTTTATTAATTATTAATAAATATTTAAAAAAGCAAGAAATTCTTGTTTATAAAAAAAACTTTTAAAAATACATTGTTTAGTTGATTAAATATGACCAATCAACTAAACTTTTCAACTGTCCATATATTTAATTTTTTTAATAATAATTTATAATATAAACAAACACTTTGCAAATAAAAAAAACTTAATCAACATATGCCGCATGCATATGTATATACACATGCTTATACGCTCAAATATGTATATGCAGTTGATAGTCTAGACGCCGCAACTCTTTATTAGTGAAATGCAAACCTTTATGAAAGAAGTGGTTGCACTCTAGTAACAAGTTACTAGTTACTAGTAGAAACGCCGAATGAGCATCTTTTGCTACAAAAAACTGTTTGTTTTTGTATATAACTTTTAATGGGACTTTGTTTACATTTTATTTTAGTAGTCACATTTTTCCCACACTCATCACATCACGAG